GTTGTTATTTTTGGACAGATATGCACAGCAATTCAGAACATGCAATTCTAATTCTAATTCTAATTCATTTTTATTTTTATTTCACTTATCTATTTTTAGTCATACAATTTAAAACAGATTTGGCACGGAAACTCTGAAATTTCTTCATGAATTGATGAGGCAGAAGAATTGTTACGAGTGCATGTAAAAACACCGAATATGTTAGCTCATTACTGAAAAGGTTAATTATGTCACAGTCCAATCCAACCATTTTGAGTCACAAAAAATTTCTTGCAAAAGCGAAACCCATTGAGTTTTCTTCAATTAATTCTGATTATATCTCGTATGTATGTCCCGAAAGAATCTTGCATATATCCAATAAGGATATCAGCACACCAGAAACACCTAAGGGAGCATCTCATGTAGAATAAACAAATAAGTGGGATAACTATTATCTTAATTGTTAATATAATTACAATATAAAATTATAAATCTTGGAATATGAGTGTATTGCATTTAATAGATATCCAACTAAAAAATTAAGAAAACCTAAAATAGTTACTAACTGCTACTGAAAAAATATTTTTCAATACAAAGATATACCATTCAAAACTAAATGTAAACTCTACGCAGCTAATGTTAGATCAATAATGTGCTATTCAGCACAGATATAGAGAGTTCTCTAATATGAGAAAGTCGAAAAACGTTTACGTTTCTTATAAGAACAATATGTCGATTAACGCTTAACACACCCCACTGTAGTTGTACACTTTAGAAATCCATTTTAAGTACATCTTAAAAGTTTTTAACATGGAAAACACGCTGTTACCTAAAATCATAACTATATCTCTACTGAAAGAAGAGTCTCTTTTTTAAAATGTGGACTGATCTGCTTCTCCTTTCTAGATGTAGTTTCTCAGCTTTAAAATCTTGAATCACATATCACGCTATCGTTCGCCAGTACTCTTGGTTTACTCTTATATTTTTCACTATATTCTCGGAGTTTATTGATCCAATTTCCGGTATTATCTCTTCGCTAAATGTAAGCTACCCATTACAGTAAAAGAAGGAGTGCTCTACATTCGCACAGCCTCCGTCGCCATAAATGAAGTCGGGTATATTTGTACAGGTACTTGCAAAAGTATCCATGTCCGGCCAGCATCTGAGCGAGATAGTAATTTGTGTCTTCCAAAATCCGTTTGAGCCAAGTGATTATATTTGGTATGAGTCCATCTGTTCATATTTCTTAAATGTCAATGCTCCACAATTTGGTGGTTGCCACAATTTGGTGGTTTGCTCCTGATCCTATTATTATTTTTATTAATTTTTATTAATTGCTATTGAAATATAAGTGTTTGATGTGATTTTAGGGGTTTCACGATGTGGAATTTGGTAAATATTTCTCATTAAACATTAAATTTTGAATAAATATATATAAATAATTTATGAACGCTGATCAAATGCATTTGCATAATAATTTCTTAAAGATTACTTAATAAAAAAAAATTTTTTTGTTGAAAATATGTCTTTATTGAATCGCTTTTATTTAAAGCCTAACAATAAGTTTTCGAATCTTAAAAACTAATAACATTATAATACAAATTATTTTATATATACATACTACAATGAATTATAAAATGAATTGTATATTATTTTAAGGGGACTCAGAATAAGTAGTCGATACTAATTTACCAGTTATTACGGCACATAAGTTGAATTAAACAGGATAACCTTTAGGAATGCAGTATGGCAGGTCTATCATTCCGTTTTAGTCTAGAAGAATTTGTCTTATTAGCATGAGGTCTAACCAGCGGATTCACATGATTTTCAAGATTTGAAACATGTCTCTGCCTTATTCTCTTAATAAAGAGATGCTGTTTAAAATGTTGATAGATTAATAAATAACATATAAACAACTAGTCATAGTTTATTGAAAAATATATTCGACATACATGCACTAGAGATATGTTTTTAAAAATATATGTTAAAATTATTTTTAAATTAGTCAGACATATTACTGCTGGATTAGTCTGAAGTTGATTGAAGTCATTAAATGTATGAATTATTCTTATCGGCGCAATCAAACTACAACGCTGTTCAATTTCCCAGTTTAACTACAGTAATTTATATGTGATTAAAGCACTTATCGGACATTTTATTGATATGGCACAGTTATCAATAATCTTACACGACACTCCCATTGCAATTTAGCATAACAGAAAATGAATCGATAACATTCTAATTAATGCTAAGTGCGTTCTTACAGCGTCAAAATTGATGGATGTCTTTCTATTCGTGCCTTTCGCACCCTAACGGGACGTAAAATGTAGAATGTGGTTGATATGTTGAATGGAACTTTCAAGGCCTTTCTTTAAACCTTCCAGTTATTCAGTTTTCGCTCAACTTTGCATTACAATGCACTGATGATAATGACCCCACGTGTGTGGGCGGTACACAATATTTTGATTGCCACTTGACATTTGAGTTGTTCAGTACAAAATTAGAAATACGTTTTTCGGTTTACAAATAAAAAATATTGCAAAAGAATGTCAAAAAAAAAAAAATTATTTAAGACAAAGGAAAATATTCTAAAAAAAGATTTTTAAGTTGAAGTTAATTCAATTTAAATTTAAATTTAGAAATTAATACGCTTAAATAATTTAATAGGTTATTTAAGTGCTGTAAGCATCACAACCTATATTCGAAAGAAATTATTTACAAATACATTTAAGAAAATTATTTATTTTTTATTATTTATTTAAGAAATATTTTCAAATATATTTATTTTTACATTACATCATCTATATATGTATATATATATTACTATGAATCTACGATTGTGTGGAAACGAGTCGAATATTTCCATAGAAGGTATACAGGTGGACATATTGAACTAATAGCGTTTTCGATTGGTAAATCTGGGGTAAACTTTCAATCAAGATCAAGTTTTTCATTTTGGATTGGTAAATCTGGGAATAATATATAACGCTTTATATATATTGCCAGAGTAGCAAGATTACATTGAAATTAATAGCTGTTTAAGATAATTGGACAGATGTGATTTGACTGTGATTTGATTTAACTGGGATTTTATGCGACATATATATTTCTGAAAAATATAAATGTTTGCTAACACGACTATTTTAAAAATTGACTGATTTTAAGTTTTACTTTAGAGATAAGTCATATAAATATTATTTTTACTTAACAATTAAAAATTGCTTATGTTTACATTTAAAAATTACTATTATTTTATTTTGTTCGATTTTTTGAAGAAAAATGAGTAATAATGAGAAAATGTTTAAATCCAAAAAATACTTTAACCGTCAATCAAGCGAATTCGTGGGCCAACCATACAACTATTTCAGAGATCCTAAAATATCCATCATCAATGGCTGTTGAAAACATTTAGAAAGCTCCGTTGAAAGTATATAATTTTTCGAATAAGAGTTTTAGATGTTAAACACACAAAGTCAACTTACACTTAATTTGTGTTATACATATTTATATTTTATTAACTACAACCAACGCATAAACCACAGCTACATAAACTAACTTAATTATTATAAAATGTTGTTTTTTCATTTTAATACTATTATTATTACCAAAAAAAATCGAAAAGCTCTCTAGAAGTTCAGGCTTGAGTATATTGCAGTTGGCATTGAAAAGCTTATGCGTACAAAGCTTACTTTAACAAAGCAGAAAATGAAGTTGGAATAGCTTTTGAACACCATTGCATGTGTCGATTATCTGTTTTCCTTCAACTGAGTTTGGAGCAAAAAGTAAGAAAAGCTCCACCATTTTGCCGGCAAGGAATGTGCATCCGTGAAAGCTTCATTCGGCAGAAAATTCAAGTATGAAAGCCGCTGCACGATGGAAAACTCTCATTCGTTGAAGTGCGTTCAAGTGTTGAAGTTGTGCGGATTTTAAGCTTTGGCATCGCGGAAAGGAATATCTATAGTCGAAAATATCAAATTTGCTTCTATACAGAATTGTTATTAAAATCAAGTTAAATAATTCAAGCAAATTTCTTAGAAAAGAATCATATAATTAATTTTTTTGGCAATAAATTTAATAATACCACTTTTCTCTATATCTCAGCGTCAAGAGTTTTGTGGAAAGAGTGTACATCTACGAAAATTGCATAGCGCATTTGCTGCAACTTGACACAGATTTATTGCAACCACAGACAAAAGTTTTCCAACTTGAAATATTGTATGTGTGCAATTGAAAAATCGATTTTCATAATAAAGAAACATCAGTAAATAATTATTTTACATTTAAAAAGAGAAGTCAATTTTTGAATAAAAATTGCAAGAAAACAAAGAAAAACTTTTAAAGTAAAATATATATATATTCATAAAAGGCTGAACAAAACAATTTTTTTCAGTGTAGCATAACTGCCACGAATTTCAATAAGCTACGGACATAAAGCATTTAACTGACAATTAATATATAAATATTAATTCGAATAAAAAATAATAATTTTTTTGACAATCTTTGTAAAAAAGATCCCACCGAAAAGTACACTTTAAAGACGTACTGAAACGTAAGCCTTGAGACTTTGTTCAAACCTTAAACCCAAGCAGTTACATATAGTGCAGACAATTCATACAAAAGTTTACCAAAAAATCACAACAACGGAGCCAATACTACAGCAAGATACATCAGTAGACGTCCAGGACGCGGCTACTAATTTCCAAAGCTGGGTTCCACAACAAAAGAAAACCACACCACACCGGTAACCCGAAGTCAAGTCAGAGTCAGATACTAATTTGGCGTATATATTAATTAATTAGTTTAAAAATTTAAAAAATCATCACTTTTATTTCAATGGATTACTTAATTAATATTTTAAAATTTAATGTTAAATATTTAAAAAATCAATAATATTAATTTTATTACAAAAAGAACTTAGTAATATAATAATAATTATAAGCATAATATATAATACAAATTTTACCAAAAGCCAATCTTAAAAAAATTTGACTAATTAAACTAATTGACATATAAATAATTCTATAAGCACACGTGTTCCATTTAACCTTCTCAATGGTCTCAACTTATAATTAATACCAAAGTAGAGTATACATCACAAATATCAAAAGCGATAAAAATAATAATAGAAAATCAATCGATGAGTGTTTTCACGTTAATATACTTAATTAACAAATAAAGCTCCATACCTACGACTACATTCAACCCCAATACCAACAGGTTTAACACGACCAAAAGCAGGGAAAGGCAGTTGCCTATAATTGCCTGTCGAAAAACTGTGAAAGACCTTTTACGAGAGCACAACTATAAGCGTGTTTCCAACATAATCCGAAAACAAAACACCATTGTCATTATATTCTCATCTCTATACATTTTCACGTCCATTTTATATTAGACACACTCCCCGTTAGTTGAGAGCGTGATAACCTACTGTTTGTGTGTGGTTTCGTTTGCTTTTTTGCTGGCTGATTTTTAGTCAGCAAACAATGGAAAAACCTGAAAAATTTTCAGATTATTTGTTTGCAAAAATGGGTCCACCAAGTGGCACAACCGGCAATGGCACAGACCTTTCAATGCCACACAAAACAACCGAACGTAGTGATGCGCCACGTGAGCTGACCGGCTACCGCAAGTGGTTGAATGATAATTTAATGTTGTTGGTGACTTTGTCTGGTGTTTTGCTTGGCGTTATTATTGGTAAGTACATAGTCTTAAATACATAACTATATAAAAAAAAGTTAGTCTATTTACTATACATTCAGGGGCTAAAAACGTAGATTTTTGTTAAACATATATATATTTATATATATAGATATAGTAGCGCTCTAATGTATTCCACCAGTTTATGGCACTAAAACTTAGCAAAAAAAAATTTTAATAAAGTATAAAAATAAATTATTAAAAATAAGTCGAACTATTTTTAAATACAAAAGTGAAAATAGCTCTACATAACAGCAATAAAAGTTTATTTTTAAATAACTGATATTGGCCTATTACCTTGCAAATGCAGTTGAAAATATTAAACCCATTGAATTCAATTAAGTTAGGTTACAGACCATAATTTTTAACGTGATTACCTCCCATTAAATTACAACAGTACACTGCTTTTAACGCACGTAGCAGCACAGTGCAAAAATAAAAGCCCCACTGGAACTATAAAACAGTACGCCCGTGCCAATTGAAGATCTATGTTTGGATATAGTTTTCTCTTTGCAAGAGAGAAGTCCATCTAGCATTTTTATAAATCTTTCGGTCCCAATGTCCGATTATAAAATGTAACTCCAATCAAATAAAAGTAACAATTATTGCCATTCTACGTGCGTTACTAACACCAACATGATGCTTCCTTTAAAAAGACCAACCTTAATTGGTTGATGCCGATACTGTAAGTCCTCATCCCCGTGGCACCAAATTTGAACCGGTTTGATTTCACCTCCGGTCAGATGCCGATACTGTAGGTCCTCATCCCCGTGGCAACAAATTTGAACCAGTTTGATTTCACCTCCGGTCAGATGCCGTAAGGGAAACTAATCCACTACCATTTATAATCCAAATAGCATCGGGTGCTGCCTTCTAGATTTTAGTCGTCTCTAACAACCGGTATGATTTACTTCAATAATATTTTAACCCCTTTTTCTCGGTTAGGCTGAAGTCGTTTGAACAATAATATCCTACTATCTAACTATAGATAAATGTTGTTCATGTGCCCCACCAGGAGAACTACTAATATTAATATAAAGACTGTAATAAGGTTTTCAGCACACGGACAACAGTGTAAAAAGCACAACTTTCCCATTTAAGTAAAAGTGAACCATACAATCGAGTCCATAAACATAACCTTTTAAATTAAAAAAAATTTTGAGAAATTATTAAAAATGGCAAGAAAAGTAACTCCAACGTTTTTGAGTCCTGCAATGACAAAAAATAGGCAGTAGGATATAAGAAAAAACACATTTTATTTCTGCTTTGCAATTTCACAATCAGAACAAAAAACATTATAAAATAGACCGAATCTCATTACATGCCGTCTTAATACAGACCGAGCTGCGAATACTGACACGTAGTACTTACATTTCACTTAAGTTAAAACAGTTGACTGGTGTCTTTCTTACCCAATTTGAACTAACTAAATCTTGAGATCTGACAAGAATTTTTAACTACCCACACATTTTTTCGCTGCTGTCCTCACCCATCCTCACCCTAACAGTCTAACAGCAGATATTTAAACACTATTCTTAATGTATATTTGTACTGATATCAAGTGAACAATGGCATTAAAAAAGCTATTTGTTGTTCAATCAAAGACGTACCAATAAAACCTACAAATATTCCAGATATTCTGAATATTTTTCATTACTTGAAATTGTTGCATGGACAGTCAAAAAATAATTAATTAAAAATAAAATGTTGTTTGTCGTAATTAATCACTGTTCAAACCCTTAATTATTTAATTTTATTCACTTTTTTTCAGGACTTTGTCTGCGCCCTATGAACTTACATGAGGATTCCATTATGCTCATTTCATATCCTGGAGAACTTTTCATGCGTATTTTAAAGTTGATGATTTTGCCATTGGTTATATCGAGCTTAGTTGCCGGATCTGCAAGCTTGAATGCGCGTATGAACGGCAAAATTGCTTTACGTACTTTAGTATACTTTGCTTCGACTTCTCTGTTTAATGCAATACTCGGCATTGCTTTAGTTCTACTAATCCATCCCGGTGATCCAGACTTGCATAAAGCCAATGATCACGGTACAGAAAAACGTGCTGTCAATTTATTGGATAGTCTCTTGGATTTAGGAAGGTGAGTTAGCATTAAGTTAGGGTTAATGTCTTAGAAGATCTTAGAAGGTCTTAGAAGATTTTAAGTTATACATTTTATTTTTGCTAAAATCTACCAAAATTCATCCCCCTTTCTTTGGAGAAAACTTAAAAGATGATTTTATTGCATATTTATAGGAATTAAATTTTGAGAAATTTTCGTGTCTATAAATAAGCAACAAATAATGAATATTTGATTGCCATAGCTTGACATAAAATAATCTATACTCCTCATGTACCAAAATAAAACAAATCAGTCATATTGATTATGAATATATACTGTACATAATTCTTATATATGTAATTTATATAAAATATATAAAATTTATAAACATATTTTTTATTTAATTCAATTTTTTTGACTACAAAGATTAGAGAAAAATTATTGATATTTATATATTTCTCTTTTTAGAAATGTTTTTCCAGAAAATCTCTTTCAAGCTTCTTTTCAACAAGCACATACTGTTTATATGCCGAAGCCTAGCACTATGTCAACTTTCAATGAGACACTTAACGATACCCTAAGCGATGTAGAACAGACCTCCGAGGGGCAATTGTTGCAGCAACAGCAAGACGTTGAACCGGCTCTCATGCGTGTTGTGCAATATCGTAGCGGGACTAATACACTTGGGATTGTATTTTTCTGTTTGGTATTTGGTACATTTTTGGGTACAATCGGTCAAAAAGGTCAAGTTGTAATCGAGTTCTTCTCCGCTGTCTTTGAGGTCGTCATGAAAATGGTAACTTGTGTCATGTGGCTAACTCCAATAGGCATCAGTTCCGTCATAGCCGGCAAAATATTAAGTGTCTCGAACTTACACTTAGTTATGGAGCAACTAATATGGTTCATACTCACCATAACGTTGGGTGTATTCATCTATCAGTTAATTATTATGCAAGCGATCTATTTTGTGTTCGTGCGACGTAATCCATACAAATTTTACGCCGGACTTGTGCAGGCTATGCTAACCGCATTTGCGACAGCATCAACGTAAGCCAAACACAATCTTTAATAAGCAATATTTTATCTACTCTATTAGATTTTATCTCTCTTAACTTTAAACTTATTAAGCTACATGAAGTTGCATCGAGCGAATTTTTTCTTGTGTTTCATGAATATATTATATATCTATATACATATATATACAAGTATATATGTGTATGTTATTTTCATTATATATCGATGCAACTCAAAATCCTTAAATATCCACGCTACAAATATTTTTTTCCTTCTTTTTGGTTTTCCGATTTTGATTTTGATCGTTGTTGTTGTGAAAATTTTATAATTTTCATTAAAAAAACAAAAAAAAACGTAACAAAAAACAAAATATTTAATAAATATTTAATATAAAAAAAAATAAATAAATAAATTCGACTAAATATACAATTTAAACTGTGATATAATTTATCGAAATGATAAATAAAATTTAATACAAAAATATTGTGATAAATCATTAACTTAAAATAACTGCAAAAAATTGCAACACACTCATCACCACCGCTGCAACACTGCTTCGTCGATGACAACAATCAATTACTGCCAATCAATTCCAAAATGTTGATCGATCTCTATGTGGTTCCACAACCAGTGCTGCAGCCCTGCCGATAACATTTCGTTGCTTGAACGAGAAGTTACGCGTCGATCAACGCATCACACGATTCGTACTTCCCATCGGATGTAACATTAACATGGATGGCACGGCCCTTTATATTTCGATTGCTTCGATTTTCATCGCACAGATGAGCGGCATGGAGTTGGGTTTTGGTGAACTGGTCACGGTTTTACTGACATCTACCGCAGCTTCTATGAGTTCAGCAAGTGTACCTAGTGCAGCATTAGTTCTGTTGTTGGTCGTACTGTCAGCCATTGATGCACCCTTACAGGATGTTACTTTGCTTTTTGCAGTAGATTGGTTTGTGTAAGTACATTATTTTTTTTACAATACAATTTAGAAAATAAACAATGCTTTCAAGTATTAAATATTACATCACAGGCCCTGTCCAAAAACATTAATATTTTTACAAGTTTTTCGAACGATATTCCAGAGTTTAAAAAGACGCGTTTAATTAATTAATTAAATAAATCATACCTGCACAGCAGTTTGTGCCTCCTTCTAGGTTTAGAGTAAGTTTTGAAGCCCTATTGCGTCCATAAAAAGTAGTATAGCATCTATTCCACAGAGTTTTATTGTCTGTTACGTAAGAGTATACATTCCTAGGAATCATATTCTTATGTTCACTAGTTCACTGACTCTTCATTCTACACAGTTTGCATCCATATATATGCGCAGTCTCGTAAGTTGATGTTTTAATTTGCATAGTCCTCTAAAGATTCCGTGTGTTGATTCCAAGTTTTCTTTTGACGATTCCAAGTTCATACAATCCTGTTATCTTTCTACTGTTATAGGCACCAATAAGTGATTTTGATTGTATTAATCCCTAAAGATTATGCCAGTAATTATATTTGTTCTGATTTTCTCATTTTTATAAGAGAAAGGATGGCACTGTGTCCTAAACCACAGAAAGTTTCAAGTCTCATCATCGATCTGGGCGCTTCCTTCCTGGCTAATTCGTCTGTGTGTTCATTTCCGCAAACCTCAGCATGTCCCGGTATCCAAAGTATGGACACCTGATTTGATTCGCCGAGCAGACTAAACTTTTCACCTGATGCGAGTTTAGTGCCTTGATAACCGCTAGGCTGTCTGTCAGTATTGTGATACATTTTCCCTGGTATTTTCGTTCAATACTGAAAACGACGCACTTAAATATTATGCAAATTTCCACTTCTGGTTCTGGAAGGACCTTAACGAATGCCGTTGAACAAGCTCGCATGAACTTACCTATACATACGCGTTCTACATACGCAAGTCAATCTTTGCAGCTTGTTTAGTAAGTAAATGTTATTATGTTGTCTGGTTCCTAAATATTAAGCTTACTATTGATGAAATTTTCTGATGCTATTTTATTATCTGTTATAAACTCTTTACTTAGCGTTTCCAAGTTAGTTTCTCTCCAAGTTAGAGTCATCCTACTGACACTGTCGTTATTAATAATTATTAAGTGACTTTTATATTTGAATAAATTACCAATAAAAGTTATTAATTAAAAAAGTAATTACATTATTATGTTATGTGAAGTAGATTAAATTAAATGAATACTTATGATAATTATAATTATACTTAAATTTCAGTGATCGCATTCGTACCACCAACAACATGTTAGGCGATTGCTACGCTGCAGCCGTCGTGGAGGAACTCTCGCGCAAGGAGCTAATGGCTCTTGATGCTGCTGTACTCTATCAGGTAATATAGTTAACGCATATTTAATTTTACAATCGCTTACAGAAAAGGTATTGATATATATATTTAAATAAAAAAAATTAAAGCCATAGTATAATTGTTATAAATGGTAAAACAAAACTAAAATACAAATAATTAATAATTAACAAACGAAACGAAATATCACTAAAAATCCGCTTACAGATGAGTTGACCCACAACTGCACTCTACGTCAAACCGCTGAGCCAAAAAACGTATTCGTACTCGTATTTATTGCTAAATGTATTTAAATACTATAAGCTTCTTGACTTATATATATCATGGAGCAATTTTTTTAATAGTATTCTACTTGTTTTATTTTCTTTTTTACTTTATGTAACCAATTTAAAATAACAACAACAAATTCGTCAATGACTACAACAAATTGCAATACGTCCCAGGAACTACCCGTATCCACTCCCAATGGACATGTTATATTGGAAGGGCAAACTGAACTGGACAGCAATTTTGATAAATCCGATTCAGTGGTGATTGATATGAATAATGTTTTGAATAATGTCCATTTACAAAATGGTAACTCTAATCACAGAATTTAAAACAAAAAAAATTTATCATTAGTAATCCAAAATTAATACTAAATACCCATATAGCAAGGGGCATGCAATAAGTAATAAGCGATATATAAATAAAATAAACATTTTATTATTTAAATAAAAATTGGAAAAAGAATCAACACAACACATATAAAAATAGTACTGATTTAATAAAATTTGAAAAGACACAGTTTTGATATATAAGAATTTGAAATATACACTGAAATTACACAAATAAAACATAATATACTCATTGTAACAGTAAACCCGTACCAATAGTATTTTGAATTAGTATTTGTACTTGTACTTTTATCCTATATAAACAATGATAATAATTTTTTTCTAACATTTACGAGTATAAAAAACAAAAAAAAATGTACTGTTTTCTTTTTTAATAGAATTTATATAAAATTATACATAAACATCTAAATATATGTATACATAGTATGTACACCTTTACACGATGTGGGGTCGCAATTGTGTCAAAGTATAACAAAAAAAAATATATACAAAATATATTTGCGCAACACTAAATAGAATAGTTTTAAAGTATATATAGTACATATATATGCAGAAGAATCATATAAGTTTTATTGAGTAGAAATAGTTTTTAAATGATACATAAAGACAGGTCCGTAGCCAGAAATGCACTTCAGGCAAGGCTTTGAGATGATTCTAATATTTTAAAAACAAATTTGTCTTATCAAACAGACACGATGCATTAATAATGAATATACGTACATGTTAATATAGGCCTTCGATTCATTTCGTCGGACTTTAGTTCCTGAAGCACACCTGGTTACGTGCCTGATAAAAGAGCATTATGAACGAAATTCAAATTCACTTCACAACTTTTAAAATCCAACCACAATATACTTAGCAACTGATATTAAATTATCATAAAATAATACTAATTGCAAAATATTAGTAAGAAATAGCTAATGATTTCAAAGACATTTTTGGGACTCAAAATTCACAAATCGCAAAAGTCTTAGCCCAATATCATCATTATTTAACACCGCAGTTAGCAGCCAGCTTTGGCTTGTGAACTAATTTACGTGATTCAGTTATTCTTAAACAATTCTCTAATCGCAGAGTTTCTTGGCTTTACATTGGCCGTCTTGTCTATATACGTCCTAAATTGGTGTTAATTTTCGATGTCATTCTTAAAAATATCATGCTGGCTGATATCCGATCCAGCTCCGTCATTGCTCTCTAACAATATTTTTCCTTCCTGTTAAGTTTTCAACTTTATATTCTTTTAAATTCTGTATTCTCGATTGTCATCTCAGATTACTCCCAAATCTTTTCAGTTCCAAACTAATTAATATCATCACAACACCATCTGTTGAGGTAAATATTTTCGAGCCGTTGCATATTATCGGTGAAATAACACTCAAGTAAACAGCAAGTTCACAGCTTTGTGATACTATTCTCGATCTCAGAGAGCTAAGTATTCTCCATTTTCACATCGTACTGGAGTACAAATTTTTTATAAAATCTTTTCCATTAATCTACATATTCTCACTACATTATATATTATTGGCATCCAGGTTTTTTTGGCGATTGTATCATATCGAATAAAGTTATTTAATTTTTAATTAATTTTATTAAATCCCCATATCGGAAAAGTATACATACATCATTATGTAGGTATATGGTTTAAGTGAATTTGAATAAATACCACCAAAATATGATTTATCAGAAATTTGTGATTGCATATATATTATAAAATAGGTTAATGAATATATAATATATATAAACATATACATTTTGATGAACGTAAGCATTATTTAATAAATGGATTTTTTTTAATATGTATGTAATTAAAAAAAAATGCATTCTGTAATAAATTTCTTTTACGTTATTATTGCAATAAATTGATTTATTTTAATTAAAGCTATTTGTAATTTTATGTATTTATGTTTATTTATTTATGTATATATTACATACACTTACACATAAAAGTAAATTTTTTTGTGACAAATTACTTAATAAATGTATAATTACTATAATATAATGCATAGTCACACATTGCATTAATTTTTTTTTTATAGTTTCCATTCAATATTAAAAACTAATTAATTATTATTTTTATATATTAATTAAAATATAACTTCGTTTATTCGACTTATTCGGCATTAATGCGGGAAACGATTTCTTAGTTTAAGAAAAAAGAAATCATATATATTTGAGTTTTTGGTAGTAATCGAGATATAGATTGGCAAATAGAATTTTCTTATAAAAAATTTTCAATTTATAAATTATATTTATTTATTTATGTTTAATTCATTTCTACATTTTAAATTTATTGTTTTATTTATTCGTTCTTATTCTTATTACTTATTCTTCATCTACTAATTTATTTATTTATTTATTTATTTATTTATTTATTTATTCACTTACTCATATATTTATTTATTTATTTATATATTTATTTTTTTATTATTTAAATTATTTATTTATTTATTCATATATTTATTTATTTATGTATTAATTTATCCATTTATATATTTAATAAATAATTATTCATTTACATTTATTTATAAATTTATTTATTCATTTATTAATTATTTACTCATTTCTTTGTTCATTTCCTATTTATATATTAATTCATTCATTTATTTATTTGTTTATAAATAAATTTTTTGTTCCATTATTCATAGTTTATTTATTTATTTATTTACTTATTCATTTATTTATTTATTAATTATATATTTATTTATACATTTATTAATTATTTGTTCGTTTATTTATGTATTTAGTTACAAATGATAATTGTTTTAATTACATTTTTATTTAGTTTTTTATTTATATCTTCATTATTAACTTTCTATTTACATAATCATTATTAACTCCTTTAATTTTTATTAATTTTTTTCATTTTTTTTTTCCTTACTAATTAGTAAACAGAAAATCTTAAACAATTAATAAACGACAGGGATTATATTAATAACTATAAGTTATTTACTTTTTATAGCAATTTAATATATTACTTATTTATTTTTATTATCTCTTTACATCTTCATATCAAAACATTATAAGTTTTCACAATATTTTGTAAAATTATTTATTAAAAATCATATAATACCAAAAACTTTTTAATTTATATGCATATATACAAATTTATTATTATTATGTTTTATATATTTGTTTTTATGTATTTTTATGTTTATAATATGTCTTATTAATTTAAATTCTATATTTACACAAAATAAATTAAAAATATTTTCGTTTTTTTTTAATTTTTAAGTAATCTGATTTCATTACAACATATTTCATATTTAAATAAAAAAAACTTGTTTAATTTTAAGTTTATTATATTTATATATTATAACATTTTAATATTATATTATATTTCGAAATATTTTTTGTATTATTTCTCGAAACTATGTCATAATATTATATTTCCAATTTATGTTTATATTATAGTACTATATATTTTTTTTATCAATTTATTTATAATAAATTATATATATTTCTGTTGTTAATCAATATATTTTTATTTATTATCATTTTTTTCATATATTCTTTTAATTTTTATTGCAATATTGCACATTAAATATTCATCTAATAAATAAATTTTTTTATAATATTTAATTTCATTAATTTTATTATTATTAGTTACAACATATTAATTTTAATTATCTATTTATTTGTTATATTACTTTACTTTTAAACTGATTGAATAAATTGAATATATATTTTGTTATTAATTTATTATTATATCGTAATATAATATAATATATATTTAACTGTGAATTATTTAAAAAATTTTTAAAAATCTTGTTACTTTTATAAAAAAATCATTTGTACATTTTTTTAATTTACTTATTTTCATTTCTTAATTTATTTATTCCAATTTAGGTGAATCATAAGAATTGTCATATTAACTCATAGAATATGTTTATATATGTATGATTAATATTTTAAAGCACATCAATTAAAATATATATAGAAACAAATTTATGAGTTATAGATATATACAATAATATCATTGTAGATACAGTATTATAATACTATTATTGTAGACTTTTAAAGTTAATCATTTAGGTAATATATTCATTCGTTTTTGTTTTATTCATTTTTTTTTTATTTGTTTATAATACAAATAATTTAATTTAATTTATTTTATTTTTATTTCAATTTATTTTATTTTAATTTATTTTATTTTATTTTATTTTCTTATATTATTTAATATTCTTATTCCAGTTTATTTTTGAAGTAAATATTTTCAAAAAGTGATTGTGGTACTATTTGTGATGTTATATGAATAAATAATATTTACTATATATTTAAAAAATATATCTATAATTAATTTGTTGTATATGTGTATTCAAAGAAGGCACAGTAACTTTTAAAAACAGAAGCTTAGCATACGCGATAACTAACAATAATTTTACGTTATAAGAAAAAATTTAATTTATTTTATTAAAGCAAATATACATTGCATAAAATCGACACAAAATTTAATTAGTAGTGTTGTTTATATTGCTTAGTATAATTTCATATTCATGTTCTTATCTGTAAACAATTTAATTTTTTAAGTTTAATATACATAATAAATATTTATTGTAAACTATGTACGGTTGTAAGTTTGCCTCTCAATTATTAATAAATAAATCAATTACTTTTAGTACTATTTGCTATCAAATTTTAACACTAAACAAAAATATAATATAAATTAATTACATGTATATTTATATATATAGAGGTATATACATATACCTATATATATATAAACGTATATTAAAAAAAAATACGATGTTGTGTGAAAGAAATATATATAAACAATTACCACTTATGTAGACTGATAGCAATGTAGAATTAAATTTGTATGCAAATTATATAAAAATCTATTAAACGGAAATGGTTGTTTTATTTAAGATTTTTTAAAAACATTGAAAAAATAATATAAGTTTAAAGTTTTATTAAGAAAAAAAAATAATTTCTCTAATTTACTTCCACTATAAGTAATTTAGAAATATTTTTGGCACGTCAGCTCAATAAAATCTGCTTAATATTAAACCTAGATTCTTAATATTCTTCCCAAGCTGCTGAAAAATCTATTTCTTATAAATATGATGACCATCTTTAAATAAAAATAAACTGTTTCTAGTTTAGAAATTCGGATT